GCAGCAGCTCTAACCCACGTCCCTCCTGACCTGTTCTCTCCTGACTATTGCTATCTGAATAAATCATGCAGTAAGAGGTGAAACCAGTTTCAGTTTCAGTGTCAATGGGGGTTAAAGTGTCTGCAAAACATAAGCTGGTGTCATTTTGGGATGTTTGAGTGGCAGTTTGTAGCAGAGCTGCAGTCTGTCTGCGTTAGCTCTGGAGCTGAAGGAGCAGAAAAGGTTTTGATGGATCCAAACTCAGATACCTAACGGCATGCTGCGGCTTTAAATGCAAACAAATTAACATTCAACAATTCAATCCAGAGGTCTTGTCTTGTTGTTCTTTCTTCTGGTTCTCTTGGAAAATCCTGAGGCTTCATATTTGTTAAATCAATTACTGACTTTGTGAAATGTCTTGCTGCTTTTCTGGTTCCATAAAAACGACTCTAAGTAAATCTAATCAGAGGAATGAGCAGGTTGTTCGTTAGTCCAGCCCACTGTCCCTTTAAATGAGACGCCATTTAAAGGGAAGTTGACAGATTTCCAATGACAGAAGATTTTCTGCCCAAAAGAAAATAATCAATAAAACACAAATATCTTTATGTTTTATGGTTCAAACACTGAAAAATATTTTGATTTTGTCCTTTCAAAGCAGGATTTAACTGGATAATAGTAAGCGTTTGTTATTTATCAACAACAATACGAATAATTCAGCAATGAAATATGGAAGCATGTTATAAATGGGACTGGGCCGATTTATAAGGTGCCAACATTATTTCTGGCTGGGACCAATAAAACAACCGGAGGCTCATCTGTCTGTCTGCAGACAGGCTGACATGTCCAAGCTAGCCCAGCATGAATAAAACAAGATGGACGCTCAACACGAGGACCTGCAGTGAAAACAGCATGAAGTCCTCCAGTCACCATCTGCTGAATTTAGATTGTTCCTGTTGACAACTTCGTACCAACTTTTATTTCTACTGTGTTGATGATCGTTAGTGTCACTTCTCCCTCAGTGTCCCTCTGTCCAACCACAGTCCTCCTGTCTTCCACCTACTCACCCACCAGCGTTTAGTAATCAAGTCCCCAGTTTCTGGCTGTTTTCTCCTCCTTCAGTCCAGTCGACCCGGTTCTACTGGAACCAGAACATCTGCTCCACCTCCAGCTGCTCTGAGTGAAACCAACCTGTTCCTCTCCTGGCCTGTGGGGGCGCTGCACCAAGAACCACTGAAAGAAACGACACAAACCTCTGAAGACACTGAGAGCAACTTCCTTCTTCACCAGAGGGAATCAAGATGGAGGATTTTAGCGGTTGGAGGATTTCTCTTTAGGCTAAAGACCAGGAGACATTTCTGCTGACCAACATCCACACAGAAAACAATCCAAAGGAAAACTTTGTTACTATAAACAGATTCACAGCAGTTCAAAAGATGATCATTACCTCGTCACGACGTGTTTCTGCCTCTGCGTCCTCGTTAGCTTACATGGTGATTTGAGGAAAGCGGGAGGATTCCCTGCTGGCCTCTTCGTTCATGGACTGAGGGAAATGATGAAGATAGAAGATGTATCTTAGCAGAGTTTTTTTCTCTAATTCAATCTGTCCCTTTAAGACCAGCAGTTCATTTGACCAGTGGTGGAGAAAGTACTCAAAAAATGTACTTAAGTAAAAGTACA